TATTATGTAAAGTGGGCTAGCCTGGCTAGTCTTAATGGGCCCATTGACAAAGTGGGGGTGGGCAAGAAGCTACAGACAACTATTCTGTCTTTTAAAACATGTTTGCTTCTTTTCACATCCAGAGAAACATTCTGCCTTTTCAATATTTCCTAGGATATTTCATTTTTTCTGGGAGAGGGCTGGGTGATAACTTCCCACAATCCATTGTTCCTTGTCTGGCCTTTGGGTGCTTCGGGAAATAGGTTGGCACCCTCCTCCTCTGGGTGACAGCCTCTCAAATATTGGAAGACTGCCATCATGCGTGCCCTGGTCTTTCTCTTCCCTAGACTAGCCATGCCTAGTTCTGGCAGCCGTTCTTCATATGTCTATGGGAGGTTCTCCAATCGTTCTTCGTTAGGTTCACTTGCTAAGCAGCGGAGGAGCTCAAAGGGTCGCACCACTCCTTGGAGACGCTCATCAGCCCTTTGCGCTCGGTCGCCCTCCCGCCCGGCGCTCCACCCTCCAACCCGGGGGAGGGGGAAGGACGATGGCTGCTAGGATTGCGTGGCCTTATTTCCGGGAGCTGCTGGTGAGCCACCGCTCCTACTGCAGCCCCCGGCTCCTGCCCCAAGCCAGGCCGACTATGGCGAGCCCGTGCCCCAGCCGGTTGAGCAGTACCGGCCCAAGCCTCGCCACTGGGGCCGCTTCCCTGGCACGCTCTGGATGCTTCGTGGGAGGCCGCTGGCGCCAGGCGGCAGCCACTTTCCCCGTGCGGGACCCGGCCACCGGCACGGAACTCCTCCAGGTAGCCGATTGCGGCGTAGCTGAAGCGGAGGCCGCGGTGAAGGCAGCCCACCAAGCCGGCGCTGCTTGGAGCGCAGCTTCTGCCAAGGTGAGCGAAGGGAAGGCGGCGGCGGCGTCCCGGTTACCGAAAGGTAGAGGGTGGTGGGTGGAGAGAGAGATCAGGTTTTTGCAAGAGGGAGCGCAAAGATTGGAAGGTCTCTATAAGCAAATTAGGGTGAATACGGAAAGAAATGCTTCCCAGGGAGCAGGTGATTCGACAGCCCCGGCGATTGTTCCAAAGAGTTGGGTTTCTGCACATGTGCAGAGTGCTGGCTTCTAATGAGCCGTGTACTGGCTACTCTTCCCGAACAGCTCTTTGCAGCTTGATTCAAATTCAACACTTCCTAATAAGCGTGTTTTATCTGCAGTCTCTCTATAGCAAACCACAGGTTCCCCAAAGTATTGGCGCAAGCATCACCTCTTCATTATATGCACATAAATGGTGATGTTATGCTTTACAGTATGTCGGAACATCTGCTGGAAGCATGTAGATGTACATGCTGATGGCATGTTGTCATTTCTCCTGATCAGCCCTGCAAATACCCATGTATTCAATCTTAATAATATCTGGTATCTAGAGTTAATNACTGGCGGATGGAACTCGGAGGAGGCCTAATCTGTGCGATCTGATAGGTCGTAGGGAGGTAATTGCAAGGTCACAATGCCCATTTCCTTCACCTGGCCCTTCTTGCAGACCATGGGTATTGTAGCCTAGAGAATTGATGTTCCATAGATACGAAAAACATCAAGTCGTGGAAATCTGCTCTAGGCCATCCAGCTTTTTTCATACGAAAAAAAAATAACTCATTTGAGAGGGAAAGTGTTAAGGGAATAATTTTAAATGTGTGGATATTAAGTCTAATTTATGCAAATGTTATTAGTCATATCAATTCTAATTAAGATTTCCTACTGAAGTAGGAAATTTATTCTTGTCTTGTTTTTCTTTCTTTCAACCCAATAGAAAGTTGGGAAAATATGTAAATGAAAGTATGTATAATGAAATAGATGAAATGTATACTTTAATGTCACAGGACGTTCCCTATTAACAGGATAATTCTCCCATAACTGAAAAACTGAGATCAAATTTTATTGGAGGAGGGAGTGGAGAAAAAATAATATGAAGTTCAAAAATTATTCAGATCCAACTGGAGGCTGCAGGGTAATCTTGCCAGAAAAAGTTCCCACAATGTAGCTAGGCAGCAGCTTGGAATTATGAGCCTCTCCTTCTAAGTCACATGATCTAGATCAATGTTTTTCCATTTCAGCAACTTTAAGTGTAGACTTCAAATCCCTGAATACTGGCTGGAGAATTCTGGGAGTTTAAGTTTAGCTATCTTAAAAGTTGCTGAGAAACATTGGATTATGTATAATCCATGTGCAGGTGTATAGCATATGCCACCTCCCCTTTGTTTCTCAGCACACACACACATGCATGCATGGACACAGCATGAGTGGAAAGCAGAAATACACACATGTGCAGAGAAGAAGAAAGTATAAATGCCTCCTAAAGCCACTGCTAGACAAGAGGGTGGAGCAAAATAATGACTTGGTTTAACTGGATACCCTTTGGAGCACCTAATTTGTGGCTTTGAGTAGTAAAACATTTTCAGAATCCATGCATTCAGACTCATTTCTTGAAATTCAGCCTTTAAGAAGCATAATCACTGTTGATTGACTGAAACTGAGGTTTTAAAAATAATAATAATCTGGAACTTGTTATTAAGAAACAACTACTAGAACTTCCCTGACCAAGAGGCAAAGCTTTAGTGACAGGACATTGGCTGTGTTCAAATGAACTTTTTGGGTTTTGTTTCTCATAGAACCCCAACGAGCTTTTTCAGAACCCTAGAGTTCCATGTAACAGTTTGCAAAACTTTGATCTAGACCACTTTCCCCATCCTGATTAGTCCTCAAACTACACAATCTAGAATTTTCANATCTCTTCTTCAAAATCTCCAGTGATTCAAGTAAACTAATATGGCCCTGTGGTTAGATTATGGATTTTAAAAAATCAGATATGTAATACTCACCAGTAGATTAAAATCCACCCTGCAGATTCAGTGAAAGAAATTGCTGTAATGCCCGTTTCTTGGCTTACTTTTTAACTAAATTAACACATGTACTTTGTACAAGATAAAAGGACTGTGTGTATTTATATATTTCGAGTATGTAAATAGTGTGAGGATAGCTTGCAGAGGCCCATTAGAAGACTACAAGATATTTCCCTAGTTTTCATCTTAAATGAATTCTTATTTCTAAAGCATGTATTCATATATTTATATAGTTTCAAATTTTATCCAGTTTCTAAATAAAAAGCCACGTACTGTCCAGAAGTAAGAGTAGGATCAAAGACTTTCATCAGCATTGTTGGACCACAATGTTCCACGCACTTTCTCCTTTCATATACGCATCACAGCACAATACACAAAAGAGGCTGAGTTTACAGCATGATTTGAACAAGGTAGACACCTTGCCATTTATTTATTTATTTATTTTTACATTCTGCAGCCTAAAACAAAAGTAAATTCTTTAGAATTAAGTCAGACTTACTTCTGCATAGATATGCATAGCATTTTCTTCTGAGTTTCTCGGAATTCTCTTGGTTGCTTTTTAAATGTTAAATATTTTGCTTATTATTGTTTTACATGAAGTATCTTTCCACCCTTTATATTGTTTCAGGCCCCACTTGGCCTGTGTTTGAAAATACAGTAGATCCACTGTACTCTAAACTAATCAATGACTTTTTAATCACAAATTGCTTCTGATACAAACTCAGCTCATACAGTGAATCATTCAGTCAGTAGATTAACTGAGTAAACTATGCTTAAATTAGTAACTACAGGTGAGATACTGCAAAACATAGCTACTGAATGCTTGACTATGGGGCTGATGTATTAAAATCTGGTTTTAGCTTGAGGAATAATATTAGGCTAAACTTTGATGTACTTGATGGATTTGTTGGAATAATTGAAATTGAATAAGCTCTTTATAAGTTACAATTATTAGACAAATTTGCTTTTGTTTTCAAATTTATTTTTACCAAGATCCTTTTATAGTACTATTTTATTTTTTTATTCAGGATAGAGCGGTTTTGCTTCGTAAATGGTATGACTTGATGATAGAGAATAAAGATGAACTTGCAAGGATCATTACAGCAGAAAATGTAAGTATAAAGAAAAAGAAAATCTTCCACTGAGGCTGTGGGCCTGAAACTTGCTTGATGATTAGTTTTGCTTAGAAGAAAGATTAACGCAACCAACAGAAGGGATTCAATCGTCCTTCCTTGCACTATATTCTAAAATCTAAATTATATAGCCTGGTTCATAAATATAGTGGCTGTATTCACACAATATACGTTAAGCCAAAAAACAAACAAATCACATTATAGCATAGTATGATGTCTTAGTTCAGACAACATGTTAAGGCAGTGGCAGTGTTTGGCAAACACACTGAATCTTGATTTAGGCTTGTGTTACTCCAGCCCATGTTACTGTTCTGTGCCATCAAAACTGAATTAAGGGCAGTGCTAAACTGAAGATCCTATTGCTTCTAAGCAGCTAATCTAATATTTTGAATACAGTAGTTTTGAGTAAAACTTTGTTAGCTGAGTGATTCAGTACCAAAGGCTTAAGAAATAAATAGATGCTACAAGAGTAGTATGGAGGCCTGGTTGATATTTATTTTATATTTATTTGTGAAGTTCATTTGCTGCCTATCTAGGCAGTTTACGATGATAAACAAGGAAATAAAAGGAGCGTAAACAGAAATAAAGTAGAACTAAAATAAACAATGAAAAAGGAACACAAGAATTCATCAATATGATAACCAACAAGACAGATGAGTGGAGAGCAGAGGGGAGGAGGTAGAATTTGCCATGAATCCAGCAGTCACCGCCAGTATATATTGCTTGAATAGGTAGAGGAGAAAATAGGAACAAGTTTAGTTTGAATTACATATGCAAGAAAGGTCTTGGGCCCTGCAGCCAGGAAACCCCAAATGGGGCAACTGGGAGGTGATAGAAACAGCTGTTTACTTATATTATCTGTTTGCTGAGTGAGCTGAAAATGGCATATTGGGAGCCAACAGGGCTGACACTGCTCTCTCTGTCAGCACTTCCTAAAGTGTGGTCTGGGGCCTGATTTTAGCCCTCCGGAACATTCAGAAGGCATCTGAAGGCTCCAGAGGGCTAAAACTGCCCCTACGAGCAAACTGGAAGAACTTCCAGTTTGCTCCTAGGGCCATTTTTTCGTGCTCTAGAGGCTTCAGGGAGTGTGTGTGTGTGTGTGTGTGTGTGTGTGTGTGTGTGT